TGCTTACCTTGCTCCCGAAGACCTAGTCCCTCTCGGTAGGGTAACAAGGGAACGTGTTCAGTGCAGATCAGTGAGTAAGCACATATGGTAACTCTATATTTAACTTTTCAAGAAACTGGCAAACATTACCAGAGTGACTGAATCATTTTACATTCCTACCAGCAATGTGTACAAATTCACATATCTCCACCTCCTTACCACCAACTTGTTATTGTCTATCTTGTTGATTATTCCAATCATTGTACAAGTATTCAGGGGAAGGGGGCAAAGAATAAAAAGGGGAGTGTCCTCCTGTCAGATGGAGCCTCAGCTCCAGGCCCTATGCCTAACTGACAGTCAATGTTTGAGCCCCTGACTACTGAGACAATTGTTTTCAGGACAACTGTTTCTTCCTGACTGCACTAAGAAGCAATCCCTACTAAATTGCTTACGTGAGCTGTACATCATTCTTTGTAATTATCAAGACAACCCAAAGCAGTGTTCTAAAAAAAAACAACCCTTTCATTCCAGATGTTGTTGTTATGTGCCGTCAAGTTGGACCCGAGTCGGACCCGACTCATAGCGACCCCTCCTTGGGTTTCCAAGGCAGTATCACTACGGAAGTAGATTGCTCCATCTTCCTTCTGAGGAGTGGCTGGTGGGTTTGAACCACCAGCCTTCTGGTTAGCAGTCATAGTTCATTTTATTGGATAGATGCCACTGACTTTAGGAGCTCTGGTGGAGCAATGCCTATGGCATTTGACTGCTGACCAGAAGGTTGGTGGTTCAAACCCACCACCTGCTCCACAGAAAGAAGATGGGGCAATCTACTTTTGTGAAGATTTACCTCCTCAGAAACCCAAAGGGGGTTGCTGTGAGTTGGAATCAACTTGATGGCAGTGAGTTTGGTTTGGGTTTGGTCATTCACTTAATGTAGCTAACTATTAGACCTCAGAAACTCTAGAAGATGTTCAAAGATATTTTACATTAACCTAACATTTTACTTGTGAAAATGCAGACTGCAGGGAAGGAAAGCCCTGTATATTTTAATTAGAGATAATTCTGTGTCATTTTCTTCCTTAGTTTAAAGAATGTAAGATTTCTTCTCGGCTGGATACAAACATTAAACTTTATCTAAGGCTTTGTAATATAATGGGCAAAGTAATTTTATAGTAGTTACTAGTTATTCAGTAAATATTTCAGAATGAATCTGCCCTAAGAATAAATTTATTTTGGGGAGGACTAAAATGATACAAAATAATGACTTAGCAATGTAGTAAAATTCTGTCAATTTTATTAAAAGTAGGTTCCATTTCTTCACAGAGTTAAGAATTTTTTTTTGTAAAGAGCCTATTTCATTGGATTGTTTCATAAATGTTGACTCAGCACTGATAAAGATATGTAGAAAGTTAGCACCACACTTCTGTAAATGCAGATAGCCACAACGACCTTCCCGATATGTACAAGCTCCCTTTATATACACACACACACACACATTTAACAGCTAATAAATAACATTGAAAGCTAAAGCATCTTTTTTATATATAGTGAAGTCTTTAGAAGCCAGAGTTCACAGTGCCATATGCTGATTTGATGAATGTTTTAAATTTATGCACCTTCGGTCAAAACCCAAATCCAAAAAATTAATGAATGAATTAATAAAGCAATCAAAATTAATTAATAAAGGGGCATGCTGACAACAAATTGCATATCATTTTATTTTTAGAGAGAATTTAATCCAAGCCTGCTGGTATCCATCATAACATTTGTCCTACATTATATAGGCACAGCCATATTTCTCAGATAAAGAGCTGAAGTTCTGGCAACTCTGGAACTACTTCCACTCCAACATGTTGCAATACAAACTTGATTGTTTGTCTTCCAAATCGTGCTGAATTATAAGCATGTGAGAAACTTTACGTATGAGCATGAGCTCAGGTACCCATATACTTTCACAGTTTGGGTTCCCAGAAATAGCCTCTGAGATATTTGGCTTCTTGATCACTTTATATTAATATACAGAAAAAACATTCTGAAAACATGAGATCTAGTTTATAAATAATTGTTCACTCACTCTTGATTAGTTGTTAAAAACAACAATAACACCCCTCCTGGCACTTTCACATAGCTATGTGGCTTTTGACTGCACATAATGGTTTATACACACTGCTTATGAATAACTCCCAGTAACTTTTCTACCTCTTTATTTAGTAAAAATGAGTCTTATGTGAAATTTGTTGGCATTCAGAAGATGCAACATTTGAATCTGAACACATATTTTCTTGTTAAAAACCAGAAAAGAAAGAGATAGATAGGCTTGAAGTATGACCAAAGTAAAATTAATTGAACAAGAATTATTGAATATTAAATGCCTTCAAGTTACTGAATATAATTTTAAAAATCTGACAATAAAATGATGGTATTATTTTTTTTTTCTCCCTAGTTCACAGGTGTATTTTAAATATCTACCCAGAGCACATGGTTAAAGTGTTAAAATATAATCTAGAGATAAAGTAAAAAAAGGGGGGTAAGAGAAAGAGATTAGGAATTCATTGATCTGAATGTTCTATCTCCTTTAATTTATAATGTAGTTGCAATCCAAGCCAGCTGCAAGGAGTGTCTAAAAGCTCAATGTTTCACCAACCACTTTCTCAGTGTCTCTCTCTGGATCACTTGGTCCTGGTTAACTCCTGGGACAACTCTCAGTGCCAAGAGGAGAACCATTCCCCAAAAATCAGGTCTTTTTTACTGATAAGTAAATGGCCAGTCTCATGGTCATTTCTGACTCACGCCACATAAAATCATTTTCTGTGTTCAGACTTGGAGAAAATGTGATGGCATCAGTTCAGAAAATCTACAGTTCCAATTAAAATAGGAGGTTCTAATCAATTTTAGACTCTGGCTAAATATGCCAATGGAGAAATCATATTTTACCAGGGCTCAAACAATTCTTAACTCTTTCTCAAAGTCAGAATGCAGCGCTTTTCATATCTGCTGTCTTTTAACGTGGGAAGATGTGCTATTTGGCCACTATATTCCTCAAGTAGAATTAGCCACATTTTAGTATTTGAGACTGTCTCCTAAAGAAACTAATAGGAATATAGCTGGGATTAATACTCAGGAAAATCCACTTTTAAACACCCAAAACATCAGATATCTTCCGTAAAAGTTATTTCATTCACTTCATTTTTCACAGAACTCATGTGCTGTTCTTCTTTCTGTAGATCTGCCCAGTTTCTGAGAAAAAGCAGAGAAGAAGAACAATTTATTTCCTGCTTATTACTGCACAATCCCCTTTCCTTCCTCCCCCACTTTGATGATGGAAAAGTATGCAACTGGAAGTTCAGAACAAAGGTTATGAGAATAAACACAAGGAGATGTGGATAATGGGCCAAAAGTGGCAGGTCCCTTAGGAATGAGAAGCGCTCTAACATCTGTACAGCTAAATCCCAATATGGAGTATCATCTTCAGAGGATGAATCCAAATGGTTTTAAAATTTAGGAGGATTTCTTACTTTTATTGTTGTTGTTAGGAGCTCTGGTGGCGTAGTGCCTAAGGCATTTGACTGCTAACCAGAGTCTGGAGGTTCAAATCCACCAGAAACCCCTCAGAAGGAAGGTTGGGCAATCTACTTCTGTGGTCATACCACCTCAGAAACCCAAGGAAGGGTTGCTATGAGTCCACAGCAGTAAGTTTGGTTGGTTTAGATTGTTGTTGTTAGATGACATCAAGTCATCTCTGACTCACAGCAACCCTACGTACAACAGAATGAAACATTGCCTGGTCCTGTGCCAGCCTCACAATCCTTGCTATACTTGAGCCCATCATTGCAGCCACTGTGTCTAGAGTTATCAAAATAAAAGCCTTTTTCTTTTCTCATGGTATAAATGTACTACTAAGGAGAAAACAGTAGATGAGAATGAGAAGCTTTTATTTAATTACTTTAGTCACAGAGAAGAGAAACTGCAAGTTATAAATCTGATTTATAAGTACCTCCTAGATTAAATTTAGGTAGTTTTTAAACTTTTTTCAAAGAAAAAAAAAAGGCTGACCTAAATATGTATTGTCTCAGTAACCCTATAATTAGACCAGGAAGGTATCATTAGTCTTTCTCAGATAAATTCTTATCACATATAAATAATATGACCAGAAATACTTTATAAACAGCTAGAGTTTTTCCTAATTTTTTACTTATGTTTTATTCATACACAGATTTAAAACTGTGGATAGTTCTGGGAGAATGCTTGTATGTATGTTTGCATATAGTTTTATTTGATGGATATAAAACTTCATAAAAAGGCCTTTTTCTAAGAAGTGAAACAAATGGAAAATTGTCTCAGATTTATGATAAGGGAAAACAAAGCAATGAACCCCTTAGTAGAAAAGTCTCCACTTTTATATAAGAGTTGAGTTATTCGTCCTGGCTCCATTTCAAGTTTATCTTCAGTGATCTTATATTAATTTTTTTTTTTTATCCAAAAGACCTCATCTTATCATTCAAAGTATATATGGCTAAATTCCATTTTTTGTGAAAAATGAAAAAGATATAAATCATATGCATGCATAGATAAAATCTGGAAAGATATAAACCAAAATGTTATTTGTAGTTCTTTGATAATGTCAGAGTGATTTTGTTTTCTTGTAGCCTATTTATTTTTCCTAAAGTACCCATAGTGAACAAGCATAATTTATAAATAGAAATGAAAAATTGAGATATTCCACATAGGGTCTTTAATATACTTTTCCTGAATATGCATGCTTATAAATATAAATGGAGAAGTGGACAAGCCTAAAGCAATTGCTTTTTCTATTTCCAGATGATGTTGCGACTAGCCTTTTCCATTGTTTCTTGTGTCGCTGGCTTGAATTACATGATCTAAGTTTTCTCCTCTTCATACCTATAACCCATTAGCACTTGGCATCTGGCAGGGGAATGAGTGGAGGAATGAAACTGGCATATCCAGGGAACTCAGTGGGGGAGTGGGGAAGGTCACATGCTTAGTCTCCGCTTAGTACTGATGTTCTGGAAAGATTCAGCTGACAGCTGCCATGTGGATTAGTCTTAAAGGTCAGGTAGGAAAGAGCCAAGGCGTTGTTTTGAGACAGCAAAGAGAAAAATTTCCTATACTTTAACTCCATTAGCTGCCATTTTTGGCAGTTTTGAGATGGGTGCTGGGTGGTCGCTCCTTTGGTTTCCTGTCTTGGGATCTACTGGCTTTTAGAGCATCAAGAAACACTGCTGCTGCAGCTGGTGACATGACATGTCTTATTCTCCTAGATCTATCCTGGGAAGAGCAGCACTCCTGGCCACAATTATAATTGCTAAACTTGTGTTACAACAGGGATGCAGCAGAGAAAAAAGCAGAAATTAAGATTTAGTGTTAGTTCGAAAAATAAAATCTAAACAGTGGGCATAGGATAGAAGGGAGTAGGCTGAGAGAAGGAAGAGGAAAAAATAAAGAGGAAGCACTGCAAAAAGCAAAGGGTGTTTTTGATGATGTCTATGTGGAAAGACCATCTGCAGGATCTGGTCACAAAAGACAGTGTAGTGATGAGGCTTGATCCTCTCTGAGTACAGGCTCAAGATGCTCAGAGTGGTTGGCCCATGATGCTTACCAGCCAGACTTTTTATTCAGGGACTTGTCATGGCATTTCACAAATACCACTGGTGACTTTCCTTTCTGCAAATAAGACACTTTGTCCCGGGAACAGAAGATCACCCTGTTAAAGAAAGTGGATGTAAGCATGCCTATAGAACTAAAAAATGTCTTTGAAAATGTGTGGCTCAAAAGAGCATACAGTTTTTGTCTGGTCTTCTTGGGACATAAGCTCCTAGAACCCAGCCACCATGCCATAGGGAATCCCAGGCCACACCAAGAGGCCATGTGTAAGTGTGTCAACCACTACCACAGCTAGTCTCAATCTGCTAGCCATGTGATTGAGCCATGTGGGAAGTGGCCCCTCCAGCCCCCAGTTGAGCCACTTCAACTGATACTATGTGGAATAAGAGGGAAACTTCCCACTGAGTTTTGCCCAGATTGTAGATTTGTAAGATAAATATATTGACGGGGTTGCTTCATGCCACTAAAAAAAAAAAAAAAAAGAAGAAGAAAAAAAGTGGTGGTTTGGTCAGGTGTGCTTATATATTACATGATTGTTCCAGTTAATTTTTTGATACTTCCAATAATTAACTGCTAGCACTCAGGCCATTCTGATCAGCAACACATCTGAATCAGAAGAGCTATTTGAGGGTCTGACCCATTGTTCAGCAATAGATTTAGTTAATCCATTTAGACAAGCACCTAGAGCCACCTAAACATCAAAAGACTTTCACCAAGAGATGTCACAAGATCAAATTTACAAGCTCTCTGAATTAAGGAATTAGGGAATTAGCCTTCAATGGGTCCTGCGCAGCTTTTCTATCCACAGCACGTCTTTTTGGCCATAAAGGCAGAGTCATCTTTATTAACAATAAAACCATACAACAGTTAGCAAAATCCACGCACATCTAGCAGAAAAATTTTAAATCTTACAGGACTTTTTATCTCTATGAAATTCTCTTTATGGATACACGTGGGGTGGGGGTATGGGGGGATAGGAAGAGATTAGTTTGGAATCTCATCCTTCTTCAAGAGGTTGGTTTTCATATTTGAATGTCAGAGTAACAACTCTGAGGTTTGTTCCACAAGGGTTTTGTGCTTGCAAGAAACAGTGTTGAGAAACCAGAGTCCTGAATTTTAATCCCAGCTCTTCCTCTGAATAACTGTGACCACTTTAGAGCTTGTGTTTTCTTACATGATATGCAGAAATACTATTATTTCCCAGTATCACAGTGAAAGAAAATTCTGAAAAAATTCTAGGTGCAATCTTCTAGGCCTTTTAATATTAAAGTCAAGATTATGAAGTTCCCCCTAAATGTTGAAGGCTCCTGAAATGTTGTCCCTAAGTAATGACATTAACATAAATTTGAAGTGAATGGAGAAAACAAAATGAATTTAATTACTTTTTTTGAGTCTCTCCAGCTTTTACTCTGATCCTCTCAATAGCAAAGCCAGGGCTGCTCCACCAGTCTGACCAGCTGAAGTATGAATTGCTGTTCCATTTGAGTTTCAGCATAAGCAGTTCTCCAATATCCACCTCGGTGTAAATGAGGAAGGAGTATGTCTTATTGGTAGAAACTTCAGGCCTGAATAAACAGTCAACATGCACGGTTAGTTCTGAAATTCATTTTTTTTTTTTTTCTCTCCAAAGTTGTAAACAGCTTTATTGTTTGGAGGATATTTTAAAAATGCAAAATATGTCCCACAAACTACTCAAGTTGAATGTCAGTGGCATTTTGTGTATTTTACAAGATATTACCATCCCTTTAATCTAATCCAGCTTATATCCCAACAGTATGAACTATTCAGTATAATTTTGAAAACCCATAAGTACTATTTGGAGGCATCATTTTTATTTTCATGTATTTCTTTTCAATTTGTATCAGTATGTGAGCATATTTTTACTTGACTGCATAGAGTATACACAAGTCTCTATTTTTTCTTTGTTCACTTAATAATTGATCTTGCACATTTTGCCACGCTTTTACCTAGTGTTTAATAATTATAGTTTTTAAAGGTTAAATTGATTTTATTGACTTGATAAACCACACTTAACCACTGCTTTGATATTGGACATTCACTTTGTTTCTAATTTATGTACCAACACAATGAATATCTTGTCACTGTTTGCTACTTCTTTAGGATAAATGACATGAAAGAACATTTGATAGCTCGGCAAAGCTATCGCCACTTTTTCTGGAGGGTTCTGTTCATTCATGATGCTTCCAGTGCTGTGGGAATGTACCTGCTGCACAACCTCATTGTTGTTGTTATGTGCCGTCGAGTCAGACCCGACTCATAGCGACCCCTCCTTGGGTTTCTGAGGCAGCATCACTAAGGAAGTAGATTGGCCAACCTTCCTTCTGAGGAGGGGCTGGTGAGTTTGAACCACCAGCCTTCTGGTTAGCAGTCAAGTGCCTCAGGCACTAAGCTACCAGAGCTCCTGCACAACCTCATTAGTACTGGGTATTTTAAAAATTTTGTTCATTTAGTATTTATAAAGTTGCCTTAATTTTGTATTCCTTTAATCAACCGGCAGGAGTAGCACTTTATCATGGGCTTTTTACTATTTATATCCTCTAAACACATTGCAAGGAATTCTGGTGGTACAGTGGTTAAGCACTCAGCTGCTAAAGAAAAGGTTGGCAGTTTGAATTCACCATCTGCTCTGCAGGAGACACATGAGGCAGTCTGCTTCCATAAAGATCATACTTTAGGAACCCCTATGGGGCAGTTCTACTCTGCCCTGTAGGATTGCTGGGAGTCAGAATCCACTCAGTGGCAATGAGTTTTGTATTGCATTTGTATCTATAGAAGAATTTCTTATTACTATTTTTTTTTAAAAGTTGGACTTTTGAGAAAATTTGTAGCTTTGCTTAAAAACTGTCCAAAAGAATAAGCAGATATAAAATAACAAGAAAAATAGATAGCAAATGAAAATAAAATTTGATTTTTCTTTTCTCCATATGAAATAGGAAAAGACCTAAATTCCAAAATTCTAATTTCTTAAGCTAGAGATTGGTTTTTTAGGTGTCCTACTCCAAATCCTCAGACCAGTGGTTAGGCAGACAGCAATGCCATGACAAGCACAAGTGCTGGAGGGGACATTGGGTGACTACTCACAGGGTGAAAGGGATGTTCTCGCTCTCAGCCACGGTGCCATACAGAGATATCTCGAATGGCTGGCTGGTCTGTGTGATACTTTCAGTTCCAGAAAAATGTATCTTTACTTGGTAATGGAAGACTGTAGGGGAGGAAATTGGAACAAACGTTGATCAGTCTTATGTAAACACTATAGACGCTGAACAATTAGACAATTCAGAAGTATATTAGTAAGCAGAGAGGAAGTGCATACACAAGCCTATTGGTGTGCCTTGAAATATTTCTTCATATCTGCACCGTGTTCACTTTCAGGAAATTCAGCAGAATTTGAATTCTACATTTCAGAAAAATATGGCTGTAGTAATAGGGAAAAAAACCAAGTGTGTCCAAATTGCCAAGCAGTCCCAGAAGAAAGCCATCTTTGAAGTGGTTCTTTGTTGTTTGTTGTTGTAATGTGCCGTCGAGTCAGCCCCGACTCATAGCGACCCATCTTTGGGTTTCTGAGGCAGTATCACTATGTAAGTAGATTGTCCAACCTTCCTTCCAAGGAGTGGTTGGTGGGTTTGAACTGCCAGCCTTCTGGTCAGCAGCCAAGTGCCTTAGGCATTATGCCACCAGAAGGTGTGCAGGGAGACCAAATCAAGAGGCCTAAAGGTCTAGGACACTTTGGCCATTAACCCTACCTTTCCTCATCCCTTAACATCTGTAAGAAGCATGTATTTGTTACTGTGTCACTGTATGTGACCACATTTCTTGTTTCATGGATTTATCTGACTTCCCTACTTGGCTTGTAAGCTCCTTCAGGCCCGAGACTCATACTCTTTCATTTTATCCCCCCATCATCTTTCATAGGCCAGAGTAGTTGGTGCATAATAAAACTTATTTCATTGAATCACCAGTGAGGCCATGACTGCCTTACAAAGCCAAAGTATCCTGTATTAGGGGGTGCCTCTGGGAGTAAGTCTGTGAATTTCTATATCTCCTCTCTGCTCTTCCCAGTCCCTGAGTACATGAGCTTGCGGGGAGGATAAGTGAATAGGAAAGGCAGCAAGCTTAAGACACAGCTACTAAAGGGCCAAGAGAAATAGGGCTAAAGGTTAAAGGGAGTCTTTGCAAGTACCATTACAAAACAAAGCAGAAGTGCCAGGCCTCAGCTCAGTGTCCCTGATGCCCCTCGCGAACTCTGACCGAACACTGAGTTGGCACTGTGCTGGATGCCAGATGACAAGCACAATCTGTCTGGGTCTATTCTATACACATGCCTCTCGGTTCTGCAAGCCAGGGAAACTAAGGGTTCCCCCATTAGATAAAAGGTTTCCTTGAGTTAGAGGGGCTAGCAAATTCCCTATGCCACTGAACACATCTCTGCAGATGCAAACAAACAACTTTATAAATTGGGTGCCTAGATCCAATGCATTTTACTTTGGGAACTGTTCTTTAATATTATCCTTCCCCTGAGGCCTCTACCTGGACTCCATACAAGCTGGCCTTTTCAAATTAGTCCCTCTCACCTGTTTTATCTGATTACCTTCTGTCCTGTTTGTCTTCCATTCCTTTAGGTCTTATTTATTTTTTTATTTTTTTAATTGTGATTTGGGTGAAAATTTACAGAGCAAATTCACTTTTCATACAGCAGTTCACATATACTTTGTCTCATGACATTGACCACAGTTTACCACAATGCAACAGCTCCCTTCCCACTTCCTCCCGATAATTACCTCTTCCCTGTGTCCATCCTTTAGGTCTTGTTTTAAGTAAGATGCTAAGTTTGAAATTCAACTATGAAACAAATTATCAAAATGGAAATATCTTAGAACTCCCTTTCCAGGGATAATTGGATAGTTGCATGTTAAAATACAGGTGGTTCTTGCCATCATCTAAAGCAAACTTTGTTGTTATTGTTAGTTGTTGATGAGTCAATTCCAAGTCATAGACATTGGCAATTTTTTTTTGTAAAGGGAAAGATAGTAAATATTTTCGGCTTATGGGCTATAAAGTCTCTGTTATAACCACTCAGTTCTGTCATGATAACATGAAAGGAGCCACAGACAACATGTAAATGAATGTGTACGATTATGTTCTAGTAAAATTTTACTCACAAAGACAATGGGCTGGATTTGGCCCATGGGCCATAGTTTGCTTACCCATGACTGAAATAATTTGCTTCACATTAACTCTGAGTCTGGTGCTAATGGAGTAGCCTATGTTAATAGTCACAAGTACAGAGGAGGGTGGTAAGCAGGAACACTAAATAGCATTGTGCAGGCTGTACACTGGGGCCATGGTGGCAGTGGGAATCAGGAGCTACAGTAAAATGGATCAGTAGAACACGCTCTCCATCAACAGAACCACACATGAGGGCTCAGGGACTAGTAACATTATTTCATTATCTGCACTGAACGGACAGAATCAATACATGTGACACAATGTGCATGATAAAAAAACATACGCCTAAACTGATTTTCCTTATTTGCAAGGCTCTCCAGCTTACCTTTGTAGGGCATCTGAGAACGAGTCTTCAGGTACATTTTGCTGCTTCTCTTGGCTCTGACTTTATTGATCTCATAGCCCAGGTTGTTGCAGCGGTTCTTTCTGCAACTCAGGCAAAGCCCCTTATCAAAGGCTTCCTTTGAATTGCACCGGTAGGCCTTACTTGGGTTTTCTTCATTCAACAGGGAGTCAATGAAGAGATGAATGGAACGCTCATGGGAACACTTCACTAGCTGGTCCACGTCTAGGGAAAAATAGACACACAAAAAAATTTCATCTCTGCTAAAATCCATAATGGGTGTGTCATTTTGTATACCAAAGTAGTTTAAGTGTAGTGTTAGAATAAAATGACCTCAGGGTCCATTCCTGTGAATCTATGATTACAGATTCTATTTAAGCAAGTAGTCTTGATGATAGTTGCTTACCCACCCTCAGGAGTGTCAAAATTATAAGTTCACAGGGAACTTTTGATTTTCCTGTTGTCTTATATTTATGAATAACTTTATGAAGTCATAGTAATAGATATCCAAAGTAAAAGTTGATTTTGTCCAGTTTATCTCATCCTTTTCTTAATATAAAGAAAGCATATAATGCTTCAAGAAATGCACTTCTAGAAACCACACCATAAAGAGCATAATTATTAGATGAATAGTGTCTAATAATAGATACTGTGGATAATTGAGGGTATGTCCCTACTAAATAAAGCACAGAAGTAATCAGCAATGTCATAAGAGTGTATTTGTTACCATAGACATTTACAACAATTAATATAGTAACATGCTGTAAGCTCTATAACATGTGCACAAAAGCCCTGATCATATTGGCTGTATATAGATCACAATGTACTGCATAATATGCAAAGACCCTTAACATAAACAAAAGTGAACATAAGCTATCATGCTTATTAAGATAAATATTAAACAAATATTATCTTTTTCATTGTAAAATTTTGGAAAACTTACTGCTGAGGAGTAGCAATTTTTTCTGATTTGCATGTTTCTTAATAAGCCCAACTAATTAACACTTTCTTTACTCAGTAAAAGGAGATTTGGTGGTGCTGTGGTTAAAGCATTGGGCAGCAGTTCAAACCCACCAGCTGCTCCATGGAAGAAAGATGAGTCAGTCTGCTTCTGTAAAGATTTACAGCCTTGGAAACCCTTTGGAACTGTTCTACTCTATCCTATAAGGTCGCTTGGGGTTGGAATTGACTTGATGGCAGTGGGTTTGGTTTTGGTTTTACTCAATAAAATTCAAAATCACTCCAACTTTACAAATACATTCAAAATCTAAGCGTGTAGTCAGATAAATTTTTTTTGTTGTTGTTCTTACTGAGGGCAGTAGTATTTTCCTGCTTACATCTCTTCTTTACTTTCTCTTGCTTCTGCAAGTACCGTACTCAATATAGTATACCAGTTACCAGTTACTGAGTTGACTCCAACTCATGGTGACCCCAAGGCTATCAGAGTAGGACTGTGCTCCATAGACTTTTCAATGGCTGATTTTTCATAAGTAGATTGACAAGTTTCTCTTCTGAATCTCCGGTTGATTTGAACATCCAACCGTTATGATTAGCAGTTGAGTGCATTTACTGTTTGTACCACCTATGGTATGTTATTGTTAGTTGTCACTGAGTTGATTAAAACTCATAGAGACTGCACGTATGTAGAATAGAACTGCTCCATTGGGTTTTCAAGGTTGTGACCTTTTGAAAACAGATCTGTCTTTCAAGGTGCCTTTGTGTGGGTTTGAACCACTAACCTTTCACTTAGTAATTGAGTATTTAAGTAAAAGATAAAATGGTTGTCTGTTTGACCACAGAAAGTACTAAGACTCTGCCCGTGCTGAATGTGATGGAATTCTTCTGGAACATACCTTGGTCAAACATGTATATTAACAATACATTATCTGTGGGTAATGGGTAGTCCAGTGGGCCAATAAGGGTCAAGAACAAAACTCATGTTTAATTCACTTTAGATCATATTTACCTCCAAGGCCTTTCTCTGCAATCACTCGAATAGCTTCCCCAATGTTACAGCCTGGTTGAAAAGTGCCTCCATTAGGGTAAATGTCAACATGCCCTACTGGTTTCTGGATGCCAATACTTCGGCCAGGTGACCCTCTGGTGAATGTGTGTAACACGTCTACGAAATCCGCATCATCTGGAGAAAGGCGACTTGGAGCTTCGGCATACTCAAAATTAGGTCCAGCTGGATCAAGGCCTTAAGGGGGAAAAAATAAAAATAATAAGGCCCCACAGTTTTTAAGCCCATTTTAGTCCTCATTGTTGTTGTTGTTGTTGTTATGTGCCATTGAGTCAGACCCGACTCATAGTCGACCCCTCCTTGAGTTTCTGAGGCAGTATCACTACGGAAGTAGATTGCCCCATCTTCCTTCTGAGGAGTGGCTAGTGGGTTTGAACTGCCAGGCTTCTGGTTAGCAGTCAAGTGCCTTAGCCACTATGCTACCAGAGCTCCCTTAGTCCCCATTAGTATCACTTTAGCAACCTATTGCTCTTCATTTGAATGAAACTGTCAGACACTTCAATTTTATTAGGTCTTATTCTATACTAATCACATCTTAAAATTACTAAGATAGCCATAAAGGTAGACCAGAATCCTTTTAAAATGTGGTTTGTGCCTCTTAAACTAGCCATAATATAGCAATTTTCAATCAGGATGGCTTGATTTCCTTTCATAAATTATTTCTGAATCTGTGGGAAGACCTTTAAACAGTGCTGGCTTCTTTCTCTCTCTCTCCACGTGCCAAAATATCCATCTACTACAACTGGTACAGACGACTGTCTTCCTTTTTGTGTATTGTGTCTGGTGTTAGTCCTTTCTCACTTCTCCCAGGATCCATGTGAGAGGTGATGTGTGTGTAATATACTACCAAAGCACAGTGAAGAAGGAGGAGGAGGGAAACAGGATTCTTCTCAGAGACATCTGTGGGCTTTCTGTGCCTAACTCTATGCTCTATTTCTGTGCTACTGCTGGGAGATGGTAAGCCCATGATAGCAAGGGCCTGTGTTTCGTCTTCTTTTTTTACTGAAAAGCAGCCCTATCATGACATAATCAAGAGACCAGGCATACATATCACCTAGAAGACCACTATACACATGTGGGTGTTTAACAAACATCGTGTTGATTATCTTTGCGAATGGTGACTCTTTTGTAATAAAATGAATGACACTGTTTTCTTACCAGTAATTCTGTTGACCTTCTTATTGGTCAGACTTCCTGCAATGCCGGCAGCATGGGCTCCAAGGCTGTATCCCAAGAGGTGAACATTGTCCAGGGGATAATTAAATTCTTCCTTTGGAAAAGGAAAAAAAAAAAAAAAAGGTTCTTACAGTCCTTTGTAAAAGATCAAAACTAAAGGAAAAAAAATAATTATAAATATGGTTTTCAAAATATAGACAATACTGAAAATTATAGTTACTTTAATTTTGTGTTACAGATAAGAGAGAAAAACAGATACTCTAATGCTGAGAATTTTCTTTCTTTCACAATGGATTTAAATTAGAAAGTTTCCCAATATATCTGAAATTACATTTTATATATATATATATATATATATATATTTAATTTTACTCCATCATTCCCTACTCTAAATGCCCCATATCACTTTGTAATAGCCAAGCAATGATTTATAATTAGAATATTTTACATTGGGACCACACACATGAGGTCCAGCCACCTCATTTTACAGTGAAAGTCTGTGGCCCAGAAAGGTGATCTGATTTGCCCAAGTTCCCTTGCCTGGTTAGAGAAAAAGCCAAGAGAAGAACCATTGTCCTCTGATGGCCAGTCCACTAGTAGAGCTTATTCTTAACCTCAAATTATCTGGTTTAACCCTTTCAAGACCAAATTATTTTTGGTTTTGACTTTTTTCTTTTGTTCTTCTTGAAACCATATATTTTCTGTAACAGAAGGAATTTTGAATGAATGAAAAAAAATTTTTTTTGAGGTAATAAGAGTTTTGATTCAATTAGTAGATGTATATTTTACAAGTGGTCAGTTGTGCTGGGATTTCTTTAGATTCACACAGATATACGGGCTCCCACCAGATGGCAGCATGTACTAAAAGTGGGATAGCATTTTCCCACTAAACCCTAGTAGTGGAAATACAGATGGGTACTATCTTCCCATGGGTCATGAAAATTACTTGGTCTTGTCAGAGTATTAGCTTCCTTTCAACTCTAAGATATTTTTCAAAGGTAATTTTTCAGATGATGTTCTCAGAGAGCCAAAGGGGATAAAACTACCAGGCAAGTTTGGAGCTCTAAGCCTTTCATCACTTCATATCCTACACACTATCCTTGCCATTTTTTTCCTACCTGAATTCTATTAATCTCCCAATCCACAAAAAAATCTGGATCCTTAATCCACACTAAGGAATAAATATTGCTAATGTTTTTGCCACAGGAGCCCTGTTGGTGCAATGGTTAAGCACTTGGATGCTAATCAAAAAGTTGGCGGTTCAAACCCACCAGTTGTTGTGTGGGAAAAAAGATCCGGTGATCTGTTCCCATAAGGATTTCAGCCTAGGAAACTCCATGGGGCTGTTATATTCTGTCCTATAGGGTCGCTATGAGTTGGAATCAACTCAACAGTACACAACAAAAACAATATTTTTGTCAAAGAGATTGGTATTTTAACAGGGGTCAAAGCCAGGGTCCATGTAGCAGCCAACTGGTGAAGAAGAACTTGGCTGAATATAACATCTTCTCTCTGTCCTGAAATAACAGGCTTTTCTCTGTTCTGCCTACTTAGTTCTTGGTCTCAGCAGATCTATTCATTAGGAAAATATCAAGGGACAGGGCAGGGCAAGACTATGCCTTGGCATTATTATCTTAATACTGCTTTGGGCCAAAAAATAATGTCCAGGCTGACCTTCCGAAGATGTGAATTGCTCTGGAAAATGTCTATAGCTAAATAAAAAGGGAAAATGACCAGCCATCTGCCTAACTCTAGAGAAAAGATCTGTTTTTGATACATTCATCCAATCTTACCTCCATCCAGTTGATAAATCTGGCTACGTCATTTCCCACCAGTTTGGTATAGCCTGCAGACACAGGATAATGCTGCTGGGCCCGTGACAGCCAGTCTACCACAATGACATTGGAGTCTGGTTCCCTCTTGTATAGGGCTGCCACGAGCTTGGGCACCCAGCTCTCATACATTCCTGTAACCTGAAGAAAAGATGATATAAGCATTCTTAAAATGCCAATCTATAACTTGTTATAGATACATTGGCTCAATACACATCTTCAGTGGGAAAAAACTGCAAGGAAGCCCAATGGCTCAGATGAAAAATCAAAACCCAGTAGACTATCCAGGGATTTGTGCCTGCTCGTTTAAGGCAAATCTGAGTATGACAAAGGGGTGATGTGCTCAAGAATGGCAAATTGAGATTTACCACACTTTCCATTTTAAAAGCATGTCTTGTAAGTTCAATAAAATTGCAATAATTTATACCATTAGGAGGGAAAACAGTCTGAATGAGTTAAACATTTACAGCAGAATTACAGACTATTTTAAAAAATAATTTTAGTTTTATTACTTTCAATCAGCCTGATGGATGTTTCTCAAAAGAACTGTTTTGGGAGCTGTGAATATTTTTTCTTTTTTTCCTTTTTATAGAGATCTTTACATATAACATTTGATGTGTCTTCTGGTTACCTAGTGCCGCTCTGACAAGAATATACCACAAACGGGATGCTTGAACTAACAGGAGTTTATTCTCTTAACAACTTTGGAGGCTATAAGTCCGAGTTCAAAGTGCCAGGCTCTAGGGGCTGTGTGGAAGCCCCTCAACCTTGGGCTTCAGCTCTGCTTCTTGCTCCAGGCCCACGGAAGCTAGAGGCATCTCTTCACTCAGGCAGCTACTGGCTACTGAGTCTAACATAAGCCCAAGGTCGACAAAGAAAATGGCACAGTCCCATTGTTACCAAACCACATGGCAGGCCATTAATTCAAGTCCATGAAAGTCCCACTAAAAGTCCCATGGTTGGTAGAGTATGGCAGGCTGCTGAACAACGACATGGCTACATGCAGGGTTCAAGTGTTCCACAAGCTGGAGACCAGTTACAAAGCTGCTGTTTGTATACAGGAGGCAGACCACATCCCAAAGGCAGCTCACAGCAGGTTCCACCACGGAGCTGATTACCAGTCTCATCATGGGGAATACTACATCCAGCTATCCAGCCATTCAACCAGGCCCAGCCAAGTTGACACACAAACTTAACACACAATGTGCTAATGAGGAAAAAAAGTTTTAATATTATTAATCCTACCAGAAAGCAAGTTTGTTTAACAATCTCTTTTTTAATAGATAAGAAAATGGTTAGCTTTAGCTCACACTTCTTCACCATTCTCTCAATTCTGAAATATCAAATTAATGAGATTTAAGTAAAACGTTGGCAGTTTGAACCCACCAGCTACTACTGCACAGAAAAAAGATGAAGCAATCACTTCGATAATGATTACAGCCTTGGGAATCCTAGAAGACAGTTCTACGCTGTCTTAGCACGTCACTATGAGTCAGAATCAATTGAAGGCACACAACCACAATATTAATAGTCACGTTTCTCAGATGATTAGGCTGGTTTTATTTGGAGACAAGCAGGATGCCAATAGTAATTATTTGTTCCTCATTAATAATGACCCCAGAAGTCAAAGTTAAAAGAACTATAGAACCCTCACATTAACTCTATTCAGGTAAAATTTTAACTTCTGCAGTCAGAGAAGAAATATGGGTAGTTTTAGCAAAGGTACACCCTTTAAAATAATCAACACGCACACATACACACAAAACTGCACATTAAAATTCCAGACTATCCTGCCATGAGCTTTTACATGGTAACATCCTGAGATAAAATCCCAAATCCATCCACCACCAATATGATCTGAGAGCCTGTCATATTGTAACCATGGTAAAGGTTGTTTAGCTATGTCCTAAAATAGAGCTCTGGTAGCATAGTGCCTAACGCATCTGACTGCTACCCAGAAGGCTGGTGGTTCAAACCCACCAGCCACTCCTTGGAAGGAAG